CATCAATTGTCTCGAAATTCACCGTCCCTTCATTGTTGTTACAAATACTCTCTGTTCTCGATTTCTTCAATTCGATCTTCTCAATCTCTTGCTGCCATGCATAGGTATGATAAATCACACTCTTCCTCCTTCAACAGTCACTTTTGCTGAGGTCCTTATCGCTGCGCCGCTGCCTTCTTTGCAGCAGTCTATGTCATGCACACCGTCAAGATGTCGAGGATCCGTCCATAGATTACCAACACCCTGTATATCAACCACAATCAGACGATGACCACTTCGTTCAAAGGTGAAGTGACTAAAAGCCTAAGGAATACATGCAAAATATGTGGACATGAGGAAAAAATTATTTGCAAAAACATTTTATGATTATTAAAACACGGTCATATGCAGAACTGTGCACCGAAATGATGATTAGATTAGTTGTTCATATTTTAACATGATAATAAACTGTAGATTTATTCATTCAAGTGAGAAATAAGCTTGAGAACTGTGTTCAAGCCTCAAGCCTCTGTTTAAATGGTGACTCGGATATCCTGGAAAAAGTACAAAGGGCAGCTACCCGTGCAATTCCAGAACTTCTGGGTCTACCATACGAATGGCGACTTGAGAAGCTAGACCTATTTGTTCTGTCAGATAACAGATTAAGAAGTGATCTGATTTTTATGTATAAAATACTAAGAAATGATTTCGGACCTAATATATTCTTCCTTTTTCTTCTCACTAGATCGAGACATCTCAGAGGACAGAGCAGGCGAATAGAAAAGCCAAGAACGAACAAAATACCGGTGGCGTACAGGTTTTCACACCGAGTAATCAATTCTTGAAACTTGTTACTCGAAGTAGTAGTGACCACACCCTTAATTAACTTATTCAAGAGAAGACTAGACACACAGAAGCACACTAAAAAAGAATAACATAGGCCGTATGCCTTCTATTCTTACTACACAAATCTGATAGAGTTAGAAGTCGCAAGGAAGGAGGCATAATATTATATGTTAGGGACCACTTCCTCATAAACTCGATCATATCGGAGGCGTATGCAAGTGGTACTTGTGAGGTAGGATATTATACAATTAGTTCTAAAAACGGGTTAGTGACTATAGGAGGAATATATCGTAGTCCGTATTGTCTCGCTGACGACTTTATTCTAAGACACGCCTGTTATTGGAGTAAGGCAGAATGTTGTCTCATCGTTGGAGACTTCAACGCACCCCATATAAACTGGATAGAGCTCACAGCTCCAGATGGGGTTTCGATAGTGTCCTTCTACCATCAATTATTTAATGTGCACTTGTACAATGTATCGTAAAGCCGACACATATTGACTTGGAACATAATCCGTCATTGATAGACCTTGTCCTCATACACCACTGTGAAGATGTCGTCGATATTCAACACCTCCCCCCACTGGTGGATAGTAACCATGTCGTACTTTCCTTTAAGTTCCGGATACATGGTATAGAATTGGCATTTGATTAACCCCTTCCTAATATCTGAAGAGTTAATATTCCGCCAATCAGGGACTATGCTATCTCTATTGACTGGTCGGTCGATGCTGATGGATCGATCGATGATGCATGGAATAGGTTTAAGTCTACGTTCGAATCCGTAACTCAACCGTTTATCCCATGGTCAGCACGTAAGCTATCACATCGCCCTCCATGGATTAATAAGGAAACCCGGAAGCTGTTGAAGAGTAGGAAACACTTCTGGGACTTATACTTGTCAACAGGTCTAGCATCATTTAAGTGCGAATATAAAAAAACCCGGAATGTTAGTAAAACGACCATAGCTAAATCCCACACCGCTTACGAATGACAGTTGGCACACGATAGCTGTACCTGTCCGAAGCGACTGTTTTCGTATGTTAAAAGGTGGACAAAACGTAGTGATGGTAGCCCCCCGTTACTGTTAAACGAAAATTCAGATTTATTGGCTGAATCTAACCAAGCGAAAGCTGAGACATTTGCTAACTATTTCAGTGAGGTCTACTCTGCGTCTTGTGTTGCAACTACTTGTCCCGTTGACAATGAGATACCAGCCATAGGACCTTTACACGTGATCGAGGATATTGTTCTTCCATTGATAACTAACCTCAAACCTTGTAAGACGCCGGGACCCCGTGGGTTACATCCACGTTTGCTGTCATCGCTTGCGGACATTATCTCATGACCGCTCATGACGCTCTTCAACATGTCCCTTTCACGCCCTCAACTACCTAGAGACTGGAAACACGCCATAGTTAGTCCTATATTTAAGGATGGTCTGAGACGGATCGCATCTAACTACAGGCCTGTTAGCCTGACCAGCATAGTAGTTAAGTTACTTGAAAAATTAATTCGGGCTAAGCTACCGAGTCACATAGATTCGTACAATCTGTTAACTCCCGAGCAACATGGGTTTCGTAACAAGCGTTCATGCTTAACTAACTTACTCATTGCGAGAGAGGATTGAACAACTGCCCTAGACAACGAACTGTCTGTCAACGTGATATTCATAGATTTTAGCGAAGCGATTGACAAGGTTTCACACTTAGGTCTTATGCAAAAGCTCTCGAGCTTTGGAATAACAGGTGCTATACAGGAATGGATATGGAGCTTCTTATGTGACCGCAGACAGAGAGTAAGGGTCATTGGAACGCTATCCGAATGGAAACCGGTCAAAAGTGGTGTACCCCAAGGCACCATCTTAGGCCCTTTACTTTTCCCTCTGTATGTTAAAGAACTACCTTTATTACTTAAGTCGTCGACATTATTGTTTGCGGATGATGTTAAAAACTGGAGAACAATAAGAAGTGAGACTGATCGTTATCATCTGCAAGCTGATTTAGATGAATTAGTTAGATGTGCTCATGATTGGGGCCTGGAAGTTAATTCCAGGAAGAGCGTGTTCATGCACATCGGGCACAATATTAGTTACCACTATACCATTAATGGTACATCTCTGCCACGCGTTCAAGAGAATAAAGACTTCGGAGTAACTATAAGTCACAACTTGAAAACTACTACGCACTGCAATGCGGTTGCTTCCAAAGGTTATCGCGCGCTATGGTCACTTCGCCTAGCATTTAAATGCTTTGACGAGGATATGTTTCGAATTTTATATCTCACCTATGTAAGGCCACACTTAGAATACTGTATCCAAGCAGCTAGCCCATGTCTGATAAAGGATACTTACTTATTTGAGCGTGTCCAGAGTGTGGGGACAAAATTAATTAAGGGTCTTTCTAAACTCCCTTACGATGAGAGCTTGAAACGTCTAAACCTTTTCCCCTAATCTTATTGTAGAACACGAGGTGACGTTACACTGGCATTTCGTATCTTTAAATATGATTTGGGTGTTAATATGTCTTATGTTTTTGCTCCCTATAGCACTAATATTTCCTGAGGTCATAGCCAGAAGGTTCAGAAACCGCTATCTAGTAAACTGAAGGTTTGGTCCCGTTTTTCTCATCCATTAAAGAACTCGATGTCTTTGGTCTGCTAGTTAAGCTTGACATAGGTAAATCCACTGGACCCGATGAACTGCATCCTAGGTTATTAAAGGAATTAGCTAACTTTGTTGCGAACCCTTTAAGTGTATGTTTTAATCTATCCGTAACCCAGGGTCGTCTACCAAAAGACTGGAAGAATGCCATAGTAAGTCCAGTCTTCAAAACAGGTACAAAACATAAGCCTGAGAATTACCGACCAATTAGCCTAACTAGTGTGGTTGTTAAAATCTTAAAAAAGATTATTCGGAAGGAACTGTTAAAGTATCTCGATGAAAACCGGATCCTCTCGGAGAAGCAGCATGGTTTTAGAACAGGTTACTCTTGTCTCACAAACTTATTAGTCGCTCGTGAAAGCTGGTGCGCTCTTAAGGACCAAAAGTTACCTATAGACGTAGCTTACATCGATTTCAGCAAAGCTTTCGACAAAGTTCCGCATAACCGGCTGTTATATAAGCTAAGGAATGTCGGGATTGGAGGCAATCTATTGATGTGGATAAAAGACTTCCTAGTTGGGCGTCAACAAAGGGTAAGGGTGAACTCCAAGTTGTCTAGCTGGGAAACTGTGCTTAGTGGAGTCCCCCAAGGTACAGTTTTGGGGCCAGTGTTATTCCTCCTGTACGTAAATGATCTCCCTCGTCTACTATCGTCATCGGTCTTACTCTATGCTGATGATGTCAAGATATGGAGAGCGATACAAAGCAAGGGCGATAGCTTAGAACTTCAAAATGACCTGGAGAGATTATCTGAATGGTCCCAAACCTGGCAATTGCCGATAAACACTTCCAAGTGTATTGTGATGCATATTGGCCATCAGGGTACAGATACATACACGATGAATAACACTGAGTTACCTATTGTTCAGGCACACAACGACTTAGGCGTCATAGTCAGTCAAGACTTAAAGACTACTGCACACTGCCGTGCAATAGCCGCTAAAGGTTTTAGGACTTATGGTCCATACGCAGAGCTTTTAGGCATCTTGACGCTAAAACGTTTTTGACTTTGTATACAGTGTTCGTACGCCCTAAACTTGAGTACTGTATACAAGCAGCTAACCCCTGCCTAAAAAAAGACAGTGAACTCTTGGAAAGGGTTCAGAGAACAGCAACTAGGCTGATTCCCGAAATAGCGAAGCTCCCGTATGGTAATAGACTGACCAAGCTAAACCTATTCCCGCTGTCATATAGAAGAATCAGATGTGACTTGATTATAGTTTTCAAATTGCTAAATGACAAATTTGCACCTGATATGCCCTCATTTTTCTTGTCTTCCAAAACAGAAAATCTACGAGGACACTCCAAAAAGGTTCACAAGCCCAGAACGAATTACTTGTCAGCTGACTACCGACTTTCCCATCGAATAATCAACGAGTGGAATTCATTACCTCAGCACGTGGTTGAGGCTCCATCCGTCGACTCCTTCAAAAGAAAGTTGGATCAGCTGAGAGACCATCATTGCCAGGACTAACACAGGCCATCAAGCCTCCTGTCCTTTCCAAACTGAAACTGAAACTGAAACTGAGTGGTCAATGATTGGAACGCATTACCAGAACAAGTGGTATCAGCACAATCAGTGAACATTTTCAAGAAGAAGCTGAACCTTCACTGGAAGTAAATCTGTCAGGATTAACACAGGTTCATTAACCTACTATCCTCATAACTGAAGACTGAAAAATGAATCTGAAACATCCACCTAGGTCATTTAATATTGAAAATTTGTAGGTCGGGACGAATTACGAATGTGTCGCGAAAATTTTGTCGGTTTCCGCTCGAACTATGGAAGGAATTCCTTCTGAATCAACGCCGGTGGATCTATTTCCACAGGCCCTCCCTAAAATACCTTCAAATGAATCTTGTCTGAGATATCCAAGAAAGCTGTCGGTGAGAGAAATAAAAATCCAACGATCCGAGGACGGCAACAAATATGCAGCAATTACAAGACATTCTCGTGCTAAGGTGTAAAGAATTCCACTTTTTTAAATTCATATTTGTCAGACCTGTTTCTTCGCACTTTTCTATTTCGGGTTTCAGTGATTATGAATTTTAATAACTCAGGCACGAAACTGCAATTTGATCGGACGCTTAAGCATTCTCTGTTGCCAATTTTCAGCAACGCTTGTATCTTCAAAGACTACCTGTATGCATCCAACTTCCCGATACCATGGGGACTAGATTTTCTAGTTTTGCAACGAATATGTTAGCTAAATTAGGACTTAAAAATGGATCGTTTGTTATTCTATCAATCTGTCCACATTATACTCTGTTGAGGGCAGAGATGACAATTCACTATTCACTTTATACGACAACCGTAAAGACTGTACCTTGGAACTATTTTCTGATATTTCTCGACAGTAAAATATCAAAGGGTAGCCTCATCAGCGATGGGATCTGAGGAGGGAACATGTGGTATTCCTATAAGTCATCCGTTTTGTTATGAGTTTACTCCTTCGCAGCTCTCATTAACGGTTACGAGTGGTGTAAATATTGTGAACTACATATCAGTGCTCATAAATTATGAATCAACACAATTTATTACAAAGAGATTTATTGTACACCACTTCAAATCCCTACATCGTTTCGTTTCTATACACCGAAATATTTATTTTGATCTATCCAAGTAACTCAATAGGCTGTCCCTACCGACATTTATATTTACCAAATTAATGGTTACGTGGGCTGTCGCCTAATGTAATATTTGATGCTATTATTTTGAAACCGTTTATAGCATTTAGAAATTACGACATCTAACTCCAGCAGCTTAATGTAGATCAGACAACAGGCAAGCTTAGCCAAAACCATGGGAAGTCTTATCAATACTTGTATCTCAGAGGCCTATATTCAACATTCAAGTAAAGTACTGTTAACTAGTTTCCCATCAGTTGGTTCGAAAATCACGTTGTATGTAATATCCAATCAGAATAAGAGATAAGTGTTTTGACATGCAACGTGTTTGCGTTATCTTCACCCTCCCTTCAACAGATTAAAGCGCAAATACAATTGTTATCAACTGGTTCTCAATAAAGTGTGTTCAACAGGTGTTACGGTACTTGCTGGCAACTTAAATGTATGGGTTGAATGTATAAGCACAGAGGATAGTGTTTTTGGTGATCGGAGACCAAATAACGGAGCTTGTAGTCTGCAGCATTGTTGAGACCATAAACTACTATCAGTGACAAGCATCAACTTCCGAAATGGTCGTGATCAATACTGCTTCATGCCATTTCGGAATCCTAGTAGGCTAATAAAGGTGCGAATGTTCACATTATTACCCATTCTTTTGGTACATCTATTTAGATTCTGACTAAAATTCATTATCCCTCAAACTTGATAGTTAGCAAATTTATCATTCTAAACTGCTTTATGTAGGCAAGTCGTCTGAACATACAGTAGCCAAATATTAAACCAAACTAGCTTCAGAGCTACTTGTCAGTCAGTCAAAACGTTTAGATGGGAATTGTTTACATATACAAAAAGTCGTAAACATAATGAATAAAGTCTCTGCTCTGTAGCGTCCCGTTTACAAACTTAAGGTATTTGTAGGTTCCATAAAATGCCTTGACAGAAGTTAGTTTATTCTGGCAGATTGCGAATGTAATATTGGGGGTCGGTGTTATTGTTTGAGGTATCCCTTTCGTGAAGAACATATTATCTAAGCACACTTTTAAAATGTTAGGATACACTTCACTGGTGTATGTCTGGAGAGTATTTTGCACTAAATTGTAAGGCATTGGAATTATTCTCTAGAAATATGGCATCAAGAAATGATATAGGTTCTTCAGAGTACTTTTCATGTCAGTGATTGTCACAAATCACTTAACCTTTTAGTATCACCAGTATGCTGTTAGATCAACCTAGACTTTCTTCATTCTTATTTGTTTCGCTTGAAAGTTGTGTTGGGTTCGAAACTTTATCAAACGTTTTGGTGAAGTCATTAAAGATCCACATGGAATTTTTTTAATTTAAGTCACATTCTTGTTTTAAGTAAAATAGCTTTACCAAAAATATGTATCTCTTTTTTTGTCCTTCTGTAAGTTGTCAGTGTTTTGTTTTTATGACAGTTTATGTGAATTCCTAAGTTATTATAGGCCGGATTAATGACAAACTGTATATGCTCATTTTTAATAATTATTTACCAAACAAACGTTTTGTTTGCTTAAGATGTGAGTGGTATTCATAAAATAACTAGATATCTTACAAATATCTGCTTTAAAGAGAAACATAAGCATAAAGTGTGTTTATTTTATTCTGCAGATGGTTTGTTCAATTACTGCCCAACAAAAGGATAGAATGAAATAAACTACAAATCTAAATTATAGTTTCAGTTTTTCCTTAGAAATGTTGCCAATTAATCTACCTAAGTAATGGTTTTTCCTTATACTTGAATTCATAGCACAGAAGTTCTATAAAATATTAAGTACCTGCCCTAACATTTAAAAGTTGTTTATTTTAATCCAAAAATTAGGCATTATGGAAGACGGCCCTCAGTTTGATTTCCTCTCGTGGTGACCCATGGGAAAAATTTCATTTACAAGAACTTCCAGAAGAAACGGCAAAGCGTTATCGTTATAACGCTATTAGGGGCAAATGGATAGAAGACATCGTACATGTGAAAATCGAAAATTCACCGTTTAATCGAGGTGCTATGAGAGAATGTTTCCGTGCGTAAGTCAGTTTACGTTTACGTTGCGACAGTTTCTCTTAAGTCGTGTATATTTTACCCGAAAATGCCAAAATGCTCGGGTAGATTTCCTAGAAAATAATCTTGCATGTTTATTATCATTATATAGTCTAAGTAGTATGAGAGAAAAGCGTGAACGTCGACCTTTGACTATTGCATCATTTCCACACAGATTCATTGAAGTGGTAGCGAAAAAAACACACGAACCCTCTGAAGACTATTTACTCGAACACTTTTCCGAGTCAGAGCTTACGACCAACTGACATCTAAATTGGCAACCTCACGTATTAGATCAAAAAATGCTTACTTTCCCAATTCCTATTCAATTTTTTTCGTAGATATTTCCTTGTACATAATACTTTCGTCCGATTTCGCGGGGAATGACCATTTGCCTGGAGATTCATTACGTAATATAAAGTAAGTAGGTGACTTGGATTTTCGTCGAGATCGTTGACAAAATGCGGAATTTTTCGAACGTCTTAAAATGAGCTTCTATTCCTCTAACTGCAAAATGTTTTAGGTCTGATCACATGCAGTGAACTAGTTGTTCATACTGATCACTTCACTTATTTTGGGAGGTTTATTAGCCTGATGCGTTGGTGCCTGTACGAATTCAAAAAGCCCACTTGCGGTTCGCTAACCTGTGCTATATCCTACCCATAAAAGGGCGAGTATACTGATATGGTTCGTCTTGTTTGACTTTATAGCTATGCAGTAATCTGTAGAACAGAAAAATATGCTCAGGTTCCTAGTTTCTAATCACATGTTCTTCAGTATCTTCTTGTCTCTAATGAAACAACAGAAGAATCGAACCATTTTCTCAATGCTTAACCTTTTTTATTATCATTTATATTATTATTGTCTCAACTCATTTTCTGTTGGTCTTTTCAATCCCCTTCGCTATGTTGATGTAGTGTGACAACTTACCCCGATACACTTTTGTCCCAGTCCCTAAGTTACTTATGACTCACTTACCTAGTGCTCTCTACAGTACTATTGCTCTTATTTATGAGTCACGTCTGTTCAGGTAACAAACTTTTTATAATTATAGCCCTCCTTTTGTATCAATCTAATCAGGCTCTCAAAATGTCTTTGATCCTGCAATCATTTTCTGAATATATGATAATTTAAACTGCTTATTCATCACTATGTTAAAAAATTATTGACCATTTTCATTCACTGTTAGCACAATGTTACGATAACTACAATTAAAAAAGTAATGTCGCTCTCTTCTGCGTTCTTTTAATCTGTATTCACAATAGTTTTTTATGCTACACCCCATCACTTATCTACTCCTCTTTATCCTCATTTTGTGTGTTTTTTATTTTCCAACTCAGTAGATTACCTATAGTAGATGTTTTGTTTTATCTTAACGGTCTTAAATCTCTTACTTATTGGAAATTTGAGTGTTACCACAGAATAAAGTATCTGAGCCAGATTTTCTGGAACCAAATGCACCATTCTAACTGACCTCTTTCAACGTCCACACTTTGATACAGATCGTACAGCGTAAGTTCTGTAATGTTCATGGAAAGCCTTGATATCCACATCTTCTGTATAGCTGAGACCCTTATTCAGCACGATAGTAAAGCATTAAACATTTCTCCTTTATCTCTGTTTGAAAAGCTTGTTTCGCCTAGTTTTGCTGGCGTTGGTATCTCACTAAACGTTAGAGCAGAGGAAGTACTAGTCTATTGGTCAGATAACATTGACCATTTCCTCCAGCTTTGCACAGACCACAACCCATTTCTGGCCAGGACCAACTTTCACTGTATCCATCGCCGGTGCGCTACCTAGTGTCCTCCCTCTCCAACTCAAGACTGGATTCAGATTGATCACAGCGCAAAAAACTACCACTGGTGCGGTTTTGTGCAAGAATGAATTGTTCTTTTTAGCATGACTATCTAGACTCTGGTCGTGGTTTGATTTGGACGTAGATCATCTCGCATGTTAGTGGCCAGCCAACATATCGTTCTGGACAGACTAATATGAGGAAACTGTCTGTAGTTTGAGCAATAATCAACTGTCAGACCGAGTTAGGTCCAAGACTAGTAGTCAGTCCCTCCAAAAGTATAAATAAACATTATTTGCGTCCTCATGAAGCTAAGAAAATGGCAGATCACGTATCTTGTTGTTTTGTAAAACGTCCCGCTTATAAGCACTGGGTTTTTACAAGCTTCTTGCAATTCCTCGAGGCACGTCTGTCTACTCCGGTTAACCGAGAGTTCGACGATAAACATGTGATTCTTACGTAAGCGATTTGTGCAAAGTTTGCTTCAGCACCGAAAAACCTGGTCATCGAAGCAGGTTTTTTAGTGGGAAACAGCTACTACCTGTGAGAGTTATAAGAAGCTATTTTGGCTTATCCAAACCAATGGCAGCAAAAAGCATACTGTGAGTAGACTAATTTGATACAGCCCCAATCAGTAATATCCTATAGCATCCTGGTTTTGAAGAACAGTTTGCTATAATTTCCCTTATTATGACCCAGCTATTCCTGTTGCTTAGTATTCTTGGACACTGATTCACTCGACAAGTCCCCAAATCAGAGCACGGTTGAACAGGAAAGAAATTTTATTCTGAATAACAAAGGTATATGGAAGTAGGGAGCACAATAAGAGATATGTTAGTATATATATTTCTTACATAAAAAGATTCTAGAGTGTTCTCCAACTATCGACTAGCACTGATTGGTTAAGAATTAGCCAGTCGGCGTGTACTAACACAATCGTGCAAGGGACATGCTTTAATCCAATTTATGTCCCTTTAACACAGTTTATCTGGCCTACGGCTTCAGTTACATTAACTAATCTCTCCTGTTCTTCCTACTCGGTGACGATTGATCCAGGTCTGCAGGGAACTGCAACTTGTGAAGCATCACAAATTACCAAACTCAGACGAACTGACTAGTTCGTTTGGAAATGTTTAGGCAATAGAGGGTGATGATGTCCATCATCACTATCTTTTAAAGTAGTCTACTTCACTTATATAACAACTCTCAAGAGATAAGTCTACATTTGATTGCGTCCAAACTACTGACTCCCATTATGTTTTGCAGTCAGTCAGCTACAACGTAGGACCATGCACACGTATGTATCGGTCTAAGTTGCCGTACCTCATTCGCACAACAAGATGAACACCTGAGTCATAGAAGTAGTTAATTTAGTGGTGGTAATATATAAAAGATAGGTTGTATATAAGGATATGGAAGACAGACAGGGAAAGACAAGTATGAAGCGATTTTAATCTCAAGTTTTAAGGAAAGATAAAGAATGTATACACCTGTGTCATTGTGATCGATTCTGAGCCATGTCACCCAGATTCTCCAACTATTGGTTACGATAGTCGCGCGGACCCCAACCGGGTAGCCTGCATCTACCAACATGGCTCAGACTAGAAGTTAGTGACTTCAAGCACTGATGCCACAGTTTGGTTTGGTCGCCCCTAACTCTCTTCCAACCATCCCCAATACTAGTCAGCATAGCGCGTCGTGGTAATCGGCGTTCAGGCATACGTAACACGTGGCCCAACCATCTCAGTCGATGAAGATTCACAACTACTATCATTTCCTAATACCCTGTGTCTAACCTCTCCATTACTTACCCTGTTATCCCAGCAGATGCGAGCAATATTTCCAAGGCATCTGTGGTCAAATACTAGTAACCTACGAGTATCTTCTACTCTTAATGGCCATGTTTCACAGCCGTAAAGTAGAACAGAGCGAACTGATGAGCAGTATACTCGTCCCTCAATTGATAGACGGATATCTCGTATTCGCCTTAGGTGACGTAAGTTGGCAAAAGCCAAACGAGCTTTTCGAATCCGTGCTGAGATTTCGTCAGATACCAACCCATTAGGGCTGATTAGACTTCCAAGATAAGTGAAGTTGTAGGCGCGTTCGATTACTTCACTCGCTATCCTTAGTTCAGGTGTTGACGCAGGCCAGTCCTGGAGTAACAATTTACATTTAGATGGGGAGAAACACATCCCAAGTATAATGGCATTGTAACTCAGTTCTAACAGAAGACTCTGCATTTTGCCAGCGTCTTCACCAAACAGGACTATGTCATGTTTTGCAGATTGTTCAAAACCCTTAAAGACTAACTCGCGAGGAGCTAGCTTGTTTTTGTTCTCATCGTTGATGTACTGATCATGTCTTCACTATCCGTTAAATGTTAGAGCACCATCACGTATTTCAAGCTAACAGCCGTTGTGTTTCTTAATGTCTGGCCCGTATTTGACTCGTCGAACAAGACTTTGCTCTGGGATTATATATTGAAGAACGATATATCTGAAATGTTTATTACCATCTTGAAAACTATCTACTCAAACGTCTAAAGCAGAGTAATAGCATACAACTATCTTTCCGCTATTCCATTCGAGCAGTGGGACTAGATTGTGTTGCCCAATCTCACCATTCCTACTCAAATTTGCCATCAATGACATCCGAGAAGCAGCTCTGATGGTTGTGTGGATGTGTTACTTGGTGGAAGATTTTCCGATCTTGATTATGCGGATGATATTGTATTACTGTTCAGTGAAACTCTGGGTATGTAAGTCAGAATCAATCACTTAATTACTGACCGTGAGTATAGCACGTACTTTTCATCTTAATGTTGAGCGCTTTTATAAGATGAACAGGACCCTGTAAGGAGTAAGAAGTAATGGAAAAGTTTTTCCATCTAGTTAGTTGTATGAGTACCGGTGGTACCGTGAGTGGTGGGATTAATCTACGTATGATGGAAGCCAAGGCACTTATTGTTTTTGATTATGCTCACCTTCCTTCTATCTTTTCACGGACTCATTTTATTATTTGTGTGGCGCATATTTATTTTCGTTCTCATTTGCACCAATATTTATATGTTTTAGATAAAAATAAATGAATAAAATCTGTCAAAAATGTCTATATCATATCTATGAATAATTATACATGGCTTGATTTCATTCGTATAGGTGAAATTTATTTTGTATAAAATAAACTTTATTTCATGTCGAATACTATATAACTTTGAATGGAATCGATAGATATGTGAGATTCTCTAATACTTTTTGATTTCCACAGAAAGAAATTGTCCAATTTTTCACATTGCTCTGATTGGTCACATGCATCAAATCATGTCGCTAAACGTTATATTGAGAAGGTTGAAAACCATGTATATTTTGATGATGTTCGTTTACAAATGGATGCTAAACTTTGGGGTGAAGAATATAGTCGTCAACCGTCTGCACCAAAAAAAGTAATCATTCATTTGTTGACATCTGCAATAAATAAATAATATTTTCTAGCGTGTTTGTTTAAAGGTTGTTCACACAAGTTAACTATAAGTTGTAAGTATAGGGTTGTGGAGATCGTTGAATTTCACTAAAATCATGAATTGATCTGAGTTAGTTAACCGTTTCGTTTTAGTATATGAATGCTTACCAGTGCGCATCGATGACCCTGCAGTTGGAAGTCAAACCCAAGACCGGTTTGGGGTGCGAACGCTTAACTTCCAGACTTATGAGCCCTGATCAAATGGTGTAGAAGATCGAGGGTCCTGAGTTCGATCCCCAGTTTCAGGATCGTGAATAAGGAGTTCCACATTAAAACGGAACGGTCGTCCAGTGCTTCTAGGTTTTCAATGGTTATCTAACTTATATCGGTCCATGATTTCTATAAATATATGTCGTTGAGATTAGCTATGTGGCTTTTGGATTTCTATTAAATTTATGTACAAAGAATGCTAGAAATCATCGCTATTATATGTTATGTAGTAGCGAAGACATAAGTACGGGTAACTTGCAGGACCTACTATTGGACTATCATTCTTATTGTATAACTATTCGGTAACTAGATTATCTAAGCTTTATTTTGACCTATTGATTATTACTATATGATTTACTGTTCCTAAAGTATACTCAGTTTATTGATTATTGTCTCCCACGCTTACAGCCTCATTTGGCCTGGTTTTGTACAAATATTATTTTCTATTATATGGTATGATGTGGCCTGTCTTTCTGATATATAAACAAAGTATGCTTGGAATAAACGATTCGTATCGCCGAGGCTGTTATTGGTGTTTTGGACTCAAGTGGACGGGTTAGGCGGATAAGGACCAATAAGGACGCTAGATTACTCATACTAATCGAACGTCATTGTCACAGTGTGAAGGTCGTAGAAGGCGTATTCTAATGGTGTATAATTTACGCGAATTACGTCCTTGTTAAATTTGTAAGGTCATAACGAATCAGCGACGACCTTGATCAAGTCATAACAATTGGCTACCGCCTAGGTCAAAAACATAACAAATTGGCGACGGCTAGGTCAAGTCATAACATTATACATGCTGTGCTGTTTATGTGTGAGGGTAAGTTGTGCTCAACTTATGAGATCACGGAAAATTAGGGTCTCTGTGACTAGTGAAAAACCTCGGGCATCAGTCTAAGTAGAATACCTGAAGACTAAACTCTCCATGATAGTGATGAATATTCAGGTAAAAGCTTCAAAGGTCAAGGCGAAATATCCTATATGAAAAGTAGTTAACCATGCGTTATGTGAACTTATTTGCTTCGGTGACAGGAGCATTAATGAAGCATTTGATTACGAACTACTTTTGTATGGCAACTGCATGTAGCAAAAGATATTTTGTTTTATATTGTTGACTGTTTCTATTGAAAGTGGGGATCGTTGGTTGCGTAGTTACGATCTCGAGGAGACATTGGCAGAAGATATGCGTAGAATTGCTTCCTCCTTGTTAATTGTGCATCTATGTTCTTGTGTCAGTTTGCTCAGAGTTCGAAATGTAGCGTCGTAAAGTACTATCATTGTAATACTCTTTAATCATTCTTACAAAGCTGACTAGGTCAAGGTAGTTTTCCTCCCATACTGTACCCTTTTTGCAACGGGTCTCCAAGATGGAGAACCCTATAGGCAGCTAAATGACGTAGCTAGGAGAAGTCGGCGAATTAAATCTTTAGACGTTAAATTATACCTTAGAGAAAATGGGTATTCGCGTAAACTCTTTGATAAGTATGTGAGAACTACGTGATAGGAAAGTAATCAAGAAACTCGTCCCTATTCACCCAAACTGTGAATGAGATGCATCTTCAGGAATAACCAATGGAAGGTTGAATATTACACTAACTAACTAAACTGGTCGTTTTGCACAGATCAACAGTCAAAAACCTACAGAAACTCTAAAGCCCACGTTTAAAATATATAGAGATGTTCAGCATTGCGATTCCCGGCAGTTTGGTTAGCATAGGGAATTACTTTGAGGTCCTTTAAGGGTTATTAACAAATAACCGTACACCAGTCGTTTCAAATCCTCTGCTAAAAGTTAAAACCTGACTTATGTCAGAAAGAAAGTAGCTGTTTGTCTCCCTTTATCTTAATAATGTAATCACAATAGAACAAAAGAAGGTAAACCATCATGTCTTTATGCTATTCAGCTTATTCTTTTCATAGCCACAGATTTGTTAGACTCCTTTTATATAAAACAGGCCTTGATTGTTTTTTTGTTGTTGATATAATGTCTAAATGTTAGTGCTTTCAGCTTTCAAATAATAAATAGTAAGCAGGTTAAATACCCTGTTCCAACCCTAGTTTAGGAAGCTGGGGTTAGTATCACTAACCTTCACATAAAACAATGTAGTTCAAAACTGAATGCAAACTTTTGTAAGTTACAATTCTTTTTGTAGATATCAATGCCAAGGTTGTACTTGATGGTTTCAAATCAATCGAGCATTGGGTAAAAATTTAATAGTAAATATACTATTTGTGATATCTCAATGAGTAGAAAACTGTATTTTTGAAGTTTCGTAAGCCACTGCTTCAGTATAAATAAATAACCGAAGGAAAAGAAGTTTAAATAGTACAAAGGAAACTATGAAGAATATATTTCGTACGATCAGAATCATAATATGTCTGAATATGCCAATGTTAAATTATATTACAAATGCATACATTTTTCATGTCCACCTTCTGACGCACAAATTAATGTACTGACAGGTCACACGAATTCACCTTGACCAAAAATAATTTGACATTGACATATTCAGACCTATTATGATTCTGTTTGTACTAAAAATATTCTTCATCGTTAATTTTATCCCGGTTATTTATTTACTCTGAAGAAGTGGCTTACATTAAGTTACGAAACTTCAGAAATACAGTTTTCTGCACATTCGGATATCACAAATAGTATATTTATTATTATATTTCTTTTGTTTGACTCTTTTTCTTTATTTTAGTGATTTACTTTATTACATTGATTAGGTTGATATCTCACAAATGTGTGTATTGGAGTTTATTAATCGACCAGAGAAACCTCTATATCACTTGGAACATTTTATAGAAGGAACTTATCGAAAGTATAATTCAAATTCAGGATTTGTAGATGATTTATCACGAAACACTCCTCAGGTGAGTTACTCGTTCATTTTCTTGGTTTTCCGATTATTTTTTTAAATCGAAAGACAGTAAGCACTTAAATACTGTCTTTGGTGTGTGTGTGTTGACTTATTTACTGAAGAAAAACGAAAACATTAATGTAATTAAAAGCTGTTGTAATTTAATTCACTTGCTATTGTTTGTTTGAATCTTTCCATTGATGTTTAGGACTGCAATTGATTAGTCTCTTATTAGCATATGTGCATCCTGTGAGGATTGCTTCGGTATTGTCTCAAGCCACAAGCATTATAATTAGTTAATAATCTTAATTCTAACATCAAATTAAACAAAATAAACATTCCGTTCAGGGAATGACTCTAAAGGAAAGCGAATATTTTTTCATAGCATTCGAGGTATGATTTAAGTGTGTTGTCTAACGGAATGATTTCAAAAGAACAACGTTAATTGTTTTTAATCACGACCATGTCGGAAGTTGATACTTGTCACTGATAGTAGTTTATGGTCTCAACAATGCTGAAGACTACAATCTCCGTCATTTAGTCTCCGATCACCAAAAATGTTATGCTCTGTGCTTATACATTCAATCCATACATTTAAATTGCCAGCAAGGAATTCCTTCCATAGTTCAAGCGGAAACGGACAAAATTTTCGCGACACATTCGTAATTCATCCCGACCTACAAACTTTCAATATTAAATGACCCAAGTGGATGTACAGTGAATGTACAGCTTAAGTAAATGATTTCGTCGAAAAGAAAATTTTCTTCGCTGAATTCTCTTTTTCTTATTCAATGACATTATGAGTTATTTTAGTTAACCAAGTGGATATTTTAGATTCAGATTTGTGTAGTAAGAATAAAAGGCATACGGCCTATGTTATTCTTTTTTAGTGTGCTTCTGTGTGTCTAGTCTTCTCTTGAATAAGTTAATTAAGGGTGTGGTCACTACTACTTCGAGTAACAAGTTTCAAGAATTGATTACTCGGTGTGAAAACCTGTACGCCACCGGTATTTTGTTCGTTCTTGGCTTTTCTATTCGCCTGCTCTGTCCTCTGAGATGTCTCGATCTAGTGAGAAGAAAAAGGAAGAATATATTAGGTCCGAAATCATTTCTTAGTATTTTATACATAAAAATCAGATCACTTCTTAATCTGTTATCTGACAGAACAAATAGGTCTAGCTTCTCAAGTCGCCATTCGTATGGTAGACCCAGAAGTTCTGGAATTGCACGGGTAGCTGCCCTTTGTACTTTTTCCAGGATATCCGAGTCACCATTTAAACAGAGGCTTGAGGCTTGAACACAGTTCTCAAGCTTATTTCTCACTTGAATGAATAAATCTACAGTTTATTATCATGTTAAAATATGAACAACTAATCTAATCATCATTTCGGTGCACAGTTCTGCATATGACCGTGTTTTAATAATCATAAAATGTTTTTGCAAATAATTTTTTCCTCATGTCCACATATTTTGCATGTATTCCTTAGGCTTTTAGTCACTTCACCTTTGAACGAAGTGGTCATCGTCTGATTGTGGTTGATATACAGGGTGTTGGTAATCTATGGACAGATCCTCAAATTCATACATTCAATGGTAAATCTTATGGAGATGGAAATCTGGGGATTCGTGGAATGGCTTTATTTTTTTATACACATCGATGCAATCCTTTATGTTTAGCGCTATCATTAAGCCCTTTCGATTTACCAATAAGTGAAAAACTATCTACACCACTTAGTCAATTGTCTATGAAAGCGGAGGATAATCAAACTGAAAATATAAATGGAGTCAGTGATAATAATAATGTAAGTTGAAGAAGAACTCACAAATCCCCATGCCAAATGGATATCTTGCCCTAGATCTTGAGTTGTAATTATTTCTTCATAGATAGCTTTTCTAACCATCTTTAATGTTTAATACTTCTTATTACTGTTACCAAAATCATTTCTATTGCTTCACCATTCATTATGCTAATTTTATCTCATGCTGACTTGATATAACAAATTGGGTTAATGCACATATGTCTCAGGCTCTATGTTGGTTGTTACTGTCTGACTGAATGTATAGGATGTATAGGATTGAACACTGGTACTAAAGGTTTCATGGTGAATCATCATTTTCTTCATGATTACTGTTGTGAATATGCGAATACTAGAACTGTTCGGACTCTCGAAACTACTTTACAGATTATTATTGTTCATATTTTTACCAAGTAATTATTAGCTAACTATTAAATAATAGACCTACTAACTATTGTTATACTTATTATCTCTTATTTAGAAATAACGCTTTCCTCATTCGATTTTAGAGGGGTTGAACTTCTACCAGGAGATTCACTTGTCGACTTAGAATATGCCGATGACGTAGTTCTATTTGGTGAAAATGCAGTCTTCTGACCACTATAAAAGCAACTATGCAGGCATGTTCGGGATGCGATTCTGCCCCTCGAAATGCAAAATGTTACTTCAGGATTGGGCTGCATCGGCACCTGAACTAATGATAGGGAGTGAAGTAGTTGAGCGTGTCGACCGTTTCACTTATCTTGGGAGTTTTATCAGTCCTTGTGGTCTGCTGTGTGACGAAATCTCAGCACGGATACAGAAGGCTCGTCTAGCTTTCGCCAACTTGCGTCATTTATGGCGTAGGTGAGATGTCCGTCTGGCAACAAAAGGGCGGGTTTACTGTGCAGCAGTTCGTTTCGTCCTACTTTATGGCTGTGAAACATGGCCGGTTAGAGTAGAGGATATTCGTAGGCTACCAGTATTCGACCATAGGTATCTTCGAGGCATTGCTCGTATATCCTGGGACCACGGGGTAAGTAATGCAGTTGTTAGGAAACGAGTACTAGGTAAGGATGGCAAATCGATTGATGAAGTAGTGAAACTTCATCAGTTTAGATGGCCAGTACACGTGTTATGTATGCCCAACCACCGACTGCCACGTCGTGCAATGTTTTATGGTGTAGGAGTAGGTTGGAAGAAAGCTAGGTGCGGCCAGAACAAAACGTAGCACAAATCCATGAAGTCACTGATAAGTGAATTGATCCATGTCGGAAGGTGTAGACTACCTAGTTTGGATGATAGCAATCGATGGTTAGAGACCCTGAATGACATGTCTCGAAATCGTTTGCAGTGGTGAAGTTGCATCCACTCTTTGTGTTCCACCAAATTCTAATCTTTTGAATTCTTCATGTCCCTATTCTTTTTCTCTTTCCAAATCTATTTCCCTTGAACAACATCTTCAAACCCTAATCTTTCACATAATGCTTATACTCTTACTACCTCTACCACTATGGGATTTGAATTGGCAACTGCATCTCTGTGCTAATGTGGTATGGCAACTCGAACTGATGTACGTACGTACGAAGTTCTACGTTGTGACTAACTGACTGAAACTAATTGGCTACAAATCTTTCGCTCTGTTCCTTACTATTTATGGCGCAGTTGTGTTTAAAGGGTTATTTTTTATTCGGGGTACATTGTAGTGTGGTAATCTATGTGTATAAACTGATGAGAACTTGTCTGGATATCGATCAACGTCTCATTTTATCACCACCACCACCACATTATTTCGATTTATTTTATTATTTTAATTTCATCGTGCTAATATAATGTGACTTGGACCAAAACACATTTATGCTAGGCTCTACGTTGATGATGTCTGTCTGTCTTTGTTCAGCTATCCTCTTTTGAAGTGACTGCACGGAATATCTCTGCATCACTTGAATATTATTATTAGTCGATGTATGTATACTTTGGAAGTATTTGGTCATATTTGTTTTGATAGAAATTAGTCGTTTATCATGAAATTGTCAACTAAGCAATGGTGATATTAATTATAGAGTACTAATATGATGGAGCTAACTAATCAGTCTCCATAAAGTTACTAACATTCCCCATCATTTTAGGTAGATGAATAGGTATCACTGACTACATCAAGCGGTCAGTCAAATGTAACGAAGAGCCTGGTACATATGCACGTCGATTAAAGTTACTATACCCCATAAACGCAGTGAGATGAAATCGTCTGGGCAAATCCCATATCAGTAGAGGTATCGACTGTATTAATGACAATGAAAAAGATTAGGGATTAAATATACGATTCGATAAAGAAATATAAATTGATGAAATATACAGATTATGGATTTAGAAACTTGAGATTTAAGGAAAGATGGAAATTAAATGCACCTGCGCCGTTGCGAACGATTTCAAGCCATATTGCGCAACTTCTAACAGTTAGTTACATCAACCAGATGGTCTGCCATTATCTGCATGACTCGCTCTATTAGTCTGTCTTCATGAAGTGATACCACGTCTTGGTTTAGCCCCTTTCTACTTTTCTTCCAACTTACTCCTACATCACTCATCATCGCGTGTGTGAGGTAATCTGTGGACAGACATACGTAATACATATCCTCACCATCTCAATCGTTAAAGATTCACTTTGTCATCAATTTATTTGCTACGCTTACCTAGGATCGCACCATACGACAAAGATGACGCAAATTCGAGTATATAGTTTTGTACTCAGTAATTGATCAGTTAAATCAAATCTTTACTTCTATCAATAAAGTCTCTAAATCGTCTGTTACACCAGGCTTGACTATATGCTAGTGTTTTATCATCTTTTGTATCTCATTCCTTTGTCATCTCTTTTTATTTACTTTTCTCATAAGTTCATTTGCGTTTTTACCACCTAGATGTGTGATAAATTAGACGAGACTAAACTGTAGTAGTGAATGAAAGTGGTATAGGTTTTTTAGACAACGTACCCTGACCTAGATTGGCTCAAATTGTTATGATTTTCTGCTTTTGAAATTGTATCTAATTTTTCTTACTATCTCATTTTTTGGCTACGTATTTGCCAGATTTTATCTTATTTATTAACTCAGTTTAAAGAGTAAACACAATGAGTTGTTGCCTTTCGTGAATATTTTATTCAGATATATAGCTTGATGAGATTAACAAAATTTTATTATTATTGTTATTGTTTATACATCAACTTAATTAAATATTAACTATTTGTCTAACTGTATACAATCAGGTGGAACTCAGTGGAACAATAGCTATTCCAGCTTCCCGTCGTGATCGATATGGTATTCGTCGTTTAGTTTCAGAAAATATTGATTCATCTTATGATTTACGAGAGAATGCCAATAAACACAACAATGACATGAGTAGTGATTTTGTAGATCCAACCGACTTTGTGGAGTCTCATAGTGTACCTTCGCCTAAATTACCGTTTCTACCTTCGAGGTCTCCAGTTTCATGTAGAGAAAATATATTACAAAAGACTGATCAGATCAATGATCATAATTCAAATGTCGTTGTTAATAATGGAAAACACAGTACAAAGTATAGTACTAATACTACTACTACTGGTAATATTAATATTAATAATAATGATGCACGTACTAATGATCTAATATTTGGTCCAATTTCATTTCATAATAATTCGAATGATTCTGGCATAAGTTTTGATGGTCCATCGTTTGGTAGTGTGTTTAAAGCACAAAAAAGTCCTATTAGTAACCCTGGTTGTGATCCAGTATGTTCAGATTTGGATCAGTCAAATTCTCATTTGAATTCCACAGAAAATTCACAACAGCTCAGTAAAGTAAGTTTTTGGAGACTTTTTATTCCAGGAAAAGTTATTTCTAAATATACCCATTAATAATAATCGCAACAGTATTTTTGTTATTTTATTATTCGTGTACATCTTATTCTCGTAAAGAAATTTCCTAAATTTTCATCAACATTTCGTTTTCAGCTGTTATCTTAGTACATGCTTACAGTTAGAGCTGTGCGTTATGATAGCTCAGTTCATCGGTAAGATGGCGTATAAATTACTCCCCATGTTCTGACTGAATAGTTATTAGAAGACAAAGTTGTAAACCATGTCTGGTAAATTTATTATTTATTTAAAGACATACATATTGGTACAAAAAGGCACCAGATACATATGCACCACACGAAAGTCTTGCTTCTAGTAGGAGCGAGAGTAGTATTGTCAGTAGAATGCGTCATTTCATTTATTTGTGTGTGGGCTGTGATACTGCCCGGGTGCCCAAACCGAAGCAGGTGGTTTTCTTAGGAGGCCACACCCCGAGCCTTTGACCTAAAGGTATGATCCACAAGGCAATGGAGCATCGTGAGGAGATGCAGTCCCATGGTAGCCGATGACCAACAATTGGTTCATACGCCATTTGTCCCCTCAGGATACTGGAGCCCATGTGGTTTGGATTCCGGGTTTTCCAACTCCTCTAGGTGGACTCGTCGTGCCCACTAACCCGGTTAAAGCGGTGAGTAGGACTTCCCTGGCAGAAGCTATATACGCGTGGCCATGTGAGAGCATTTCGAGAAGGAGAGCGGACTCTCCCCACTCTCGGCCGTAATAGGGTATTTGGGGGCTGGCAAAGCGAATGTAATTCTGACTTAAGGAAACACAAAGTTATCGATATATAATATGTTTAGGTATTTGAGGTAGAGGTAATGTGTTGAGTGCATTAACGAAACATGGTCTAATATTTGTGTATAAGTTATTTTGGACATCATCTGTAGTTGTAATTCTGTTTTATTTTTACAAACATTTCTCGGACCACTCTGTTTATATGTTTGAAAATAGCTTCTATTTCAGAGTAATGAAGCATTCAGTTTCAGCCAAATTACTGTCTAGAACATTTGTCTTTGGGGGGAGGGTGATGGAGTTTTGTCACGGGTTCAGAAAGCTCAGTTGGCTTTTCCAACTTCGGTCGCTTATGGTGTAACACGGGATATGTCTGACAGACAAAAGGGTGTGTATACTGCGAAGCAGTTTTATCCTTTCCACTTTATGGCTGTGTAACATGGCCTTTAAAATTAAGATATTCGTAGATTACTAGTATTTGATCATACATTCCTTCGAGAAATTTCTGGTGTATGCTGAAAACACTGTGTCATCAGAACTGAGATTAGATACAGGGCATTACGTAAAGATGTCGAATCGATTGATGAGGCTATAAATGTTCACCAGCTGAGATGGTTGGGACATGTATTATGTACATTCAACCACTTTCTACTTGGATTTGATATGTTTTCTGGTACGGTTGTTTGGATGAAAGCTTGTGGTAGTGTCGAGTCGCGGTTGACTATGATCACCATCACAGACCAATTACGTGCCAATCACTAGGTTAAATGTCTCAGTAGGATAGATAATAGAAGGACAGTTGTAGATTGTAGTTAGGATATATTTGTTGGTGATCTCGTGGTATCGAAATAATACCTATATTGTGCCGAAGTGTACAGGCGAGACTACTGTGCGTACGCAGGTTCAAGGTCACAAACAACGTAAAAAGTGTGTTTTTGGTACAATTAAACAAAAAGGTGCAGTAAAACAATCACTGGTACAGTTGGTTATAATAATAAATGTTTCCATTACACCAACTGCGTTCTCTTCATAAAAGTAGATCACTACAAGCTAATGGAGACTAAACTAAAACGTGACAGTCAATGAAGTAATTGCCTCGATTGTTGTTTTGGTTTTATTCATAGTAATTAACCGTTGAATTTGAATCATACATGCTGTTGAGGTCCCTAAGATTATAGTAGCCAATCATCGGAGACATTAGATGTAACGGCTCAGAATCGTTCGCAGTGGCCTAGGTGCATCCACTCTTCATCTTTCCTTAGACATTGAGTTTAGAAATTACCTCGTGATCTTTCCTACAAATTCATATTTCCTCGAATGCTATTGTCTGTGCCTGATCTTTATTACGATTCCAGATACTGTCACTACTACTCTAGTATCTCTCTGTGCTGATGGTCTGGCAACCTGAACCGATGCACATGTATCAGATTTTATATTAAGCATGGCTGATTGACGAGAGGGCTGGCACAATGTTTGGTTGGTCAAAGGTTCTGTTACAACTATCGTCAAAATTACTATTTCAAACAATTTATCTAGGTGTATTTTTCAAATGTACGGTTATTCAAATAACACCAAAAAAACCCAGATCTCCTAGTCCTTGCAATTTAAAAGAACTAAAAATAATTGAAGCAATTTATTGTATGTATTTTATTCTCTCATTATAGTAGTATGTCTTCCTTACAAAGTCTGATCAATGATTTTTTTATTTACAGTTAGTTTTTAAATAATCGGATAATAACCAGTGAATAACCATAGTGACATGTATATTTTTCGTAAAAACTTGGTTGAAATATTTTTAAAATTGTTTGTTATTGTTCTCTCGTTATTTTTTAAATCGTCATACATATTGATTATTCGTAAATTTATGTGTATTCACATTTGGGCATTGTTGTTGTCATCCACATACATAATACACAAAGCACATATCACTTTAAATTGTGTGCATGATTGTTTTTTTTAATCTTAATTTGTATTTACAATTCGTGTATATTCTGGTACAATAGTTTATTCACACTGATTTGAGTGATATAGAATCTTATACGTAATGAAATAATCTACATTGACAGAGAATTATTAAACAGCCTTATTGACTGTAATAATGGTCAACCCCCCCCTCGCGTCCTCTTGAAGCTCACAATTATCAATAGTTCATAACTTCAAATTGGTATTCTCTGTTAAATTGACATTCAGTCGTACAGTATGTTTAATATGTTGAGGTAACTGTAAAACCCTTAGCTATTCCATTAGATAATATCATACAAGTTCAAAGTAATGTAACCGGATGGATGACTTAAGCAAGCTATTTTAATTTTTAGAACAGGCAGTTGATTTCAGAGCTCTGGCTATAGTTTAGAAATATTTACTTAAGTGATTCTATAGAAATATTTTATAGCTTGAAAATGACTTAGGCTATAAAAAATCATTATAAGTTAGGGTAAGTAGCAGTTTAACACTTCTCAGCGGTGTGAAGCCTTTGATCTTATGTCGAACCGATCTCAGGGTCTTTTCTGTTAGCTAGTCATGATAGACGCAGAGCCTGGGATACATATACATCGATTCGTTACACTAACTTTAGCATAAGATGAAATTAAGAAGTTGCGTAGTAGCATTCGTAGTAGCGGTGATAGTGAGAAAGACTGAACTCTAAGGTTGTGGTTTGAGGAGGTATATATGGAGGAGTACTGAGACTCTCCTTTTGGTAAGTGGGAACCGATGGCTTGTAAACCTATTCCTGGTCACCAGCTGTCATGGGACCGCATTTCCTCGCGGTGCTGCACTGCCTTGTGAACTAGACTTCTAGGTCAAAGTCGCGGGGGATGACCACCTTTTTAAGAAACCACTTGTTTCAGTTTGGGGACCTGGACAGTATCTCAACCTGCGCACATATCTGGTAACAATTACTCGTGTGGCGTATGTATACTTCGGTGCCCCCTTGCACCAATGTTTATGTTTTTATGTGCTACGTGATCGACTGGACCATGAAGACGTCAACATCGGGGGGAAATCACGGGATACAGTGGACAGGTAGGATGCATCTGGACGATTTAGACTTCGCAGATGATCTGGATCTTCTATCGCACACGCAACAACAAATGCAGGAGAAGACAACCGCTGTAGCCTCAGCAGCAGTAGGTCTCAATATAAATAAAGGGAAAAGCAAGACTATCCGATACAATACAACATGCAACAATCGAATATACTTGACGGAGAAGCATTGGATGGTGTAACAACCTTTACATATCTGGGCAGCATCATTGATAAACACAGTGGATCAGTTGCAGATGGAAGACGCTGATCGGCAAAGCAAGAGCTGCATATCTGTAATTGAAGAACATCTGGAATTCGAAACAACTGTCAACCAACATCAAGATCAGAATTTTCAATACAAATGTCAAGACAGTTCTACTGTATAGGGTGGAGACCTGGAGAACTACAAAAGCCATAATCCAGAAGATACAGGTGTTTATTAACAGTTGTCTACGCAAGATACTTCGGATCCGTTAACCAGACACTATCAGCAACAAGTTACTATGGGAGAGAACAAACCAGATTCCAGTGGAGGAAGAAATTAAGAAGAAGCGCTGGAAGTGGATTGGGCACACTTTGAGGAAATCACCCAACTGCGTCACAAGACAAGCCCTCATATGGAATCCTGAAGGCCGAAGAAGAAGAGGAAGACCAAAGAACACATTACGCCGAGGAATAGAGACATGAAAAGAATGAACAGAAATTAGGTTGAACTAGAAAGGAAAGCCCAGGACAGAGTGGGTTGTAGAATGATGGTTGGCAGTCTGTGCTCCTTCTGAGTAACAGGCGTAAGTAAGTAATGTTGTTGAACCATTAAATCAAAACCACATTACCAACCTTGTTCAATTTGTTTTATTTCGATCTCCATTCTTTGCTTGGATGACTGCACCGATCATAGCTTTTCACCATAGCTTCAGTAAAATTATCTCAAAGTTAGTTATTAGTACGGATATTAAAATGGTTTTGTTAAGTGTTGTCTAAGTTGAAGAAAATATTCAAACAGTTTGTAATTCAGTCAGTTTTTGTGTTCTTACGGTAAATTAATCATATTCACGTGTATCGTCCGCTAATTCCAGTATTTGGACTAAGGTACCTAACAAGTTTACCTACTGTTTATAATTTTATGCACTGAAATTTGTCCGTAAATGAACATTCTCTGTCGTGCTAATTTTCACTGTAGTAGGTACTAGTTTCGTATTGTCTTCAGCACTTGTATTCCCAAACGGAAAATCATGTGACTGACTTTTTCTGCCAATAAATATTTTGATGTGTTTGTCACACTATAATGATCAATAGGACATTTAGTTTTGTGATTGGTTCACCTATTTATTAATTGGCCTAGATGTAATAGAAAAAACTGCATTTTTTTAGGTATGTCACTTAATTTATTAGTAGCCTACGCTGGACACTACTTTAACTGACGTAAAGTGTGTGTGTGTGTGTGTCGTTATTGTACCTCAAGTCTCCACAAAACGAAAGTTTTGCTCATAACCGAGTACGTAGTTAATGGGTACATATTACTTGTTATCTGTTCTAATTATGTTATTAACTGGCTAATGTTGGAAGTATGCACTAGTGGATTCTGACTAGGTGATATTTAAGGGATATCATATTCATTATGAGACCTAAAGTTTGTGGTTTACCGTCATAAAAATCCCCGAACTAGGATGAAATAATTGCTATATCCCGTTTTAGTTTTTATTTGATATTTCGTGATGTAACATGTCAAGTATGTAATTAAGTTAATGACAAAGCAGTTGTTTATTAAGCATATTGGACGTATGAGTTGTCGAACTTTCGCTCACCTTGGAAATACGGAGTGATATTCTTTATTTTATGAATAAAATAACAAAGTTTTGTTCACAATTAATTGGTCACTGAATAATGTCCATTTTCATACTTAAATAAAGCGAGAAAGACATAATTTACAGAATAAAGCATAGCATGTTCAGTTTATGTAGCAAATCTTGTTCTCTCTTTATCTAAATTTACCAGTCGATCAGGAAGTGTGAATTGTCACGTTTTTTATTCCTCAATTCTGATTGAATCCCATCAACTAAATTGCAATTTGGTCACTAGTCTGATTGACTCGAATCATGTATTTCAGACATACTCAGTTTATATACAAACAAATCAGACATGGTACCATAAAATAGACAATAACAATAATACATGATCAAACCAACAGTGACTGTCAGTGTAATAGACTAACTAATAAATCGGGAATAAGTTAAGAATAGTAAATCTTATAATTGTAGCCAATAGGTCAAATGAAAGCTTATCCCAAGTGAAGTATAAATAGTCTAGGTACCTAATATACATATAACAACAGTCCATGAATAATTCCTAACAGTTACCGTTCATTTATTCTTCGTTAGGATATAACATTGTGGATGATCATTAATCCAACATTATTTTTCTATTTCTATCATTTACTTCAACATAGAAAGAGATTAGATTGAAAATTATGTTTAAATAGTGATCCGTAAGTCATAGTGAGTGCGTAACTTCTGATAATAACTCTTTTTGGTCTGAAGTTTATACTAGGGATATGAAAGCTATTGATTTTGACGGCACCGGGCAGTATTCGAGAGATTTCCTGAATCGGCCATTTGATTTCGACCCAATGGTCTAAAGCTGCTGTGCTAACTACACAGGTTGAAGCTCATGAGTTCGTTCCCTTATGAGGTTGTAGGTAAACACTGAGAAGTGAGAAGTGCTATACTATGGTGAAATAGTTTTTCATTTAATAATATTTTGTAATAAAAATAACTAAATTTGGATTGAACACTTCACAAACCTCCTATTTTTAGGATAAGAATTATGGTAGCTGTAATAATCTCAATAATAAATACATGATTAATAATCACGTTAATGTGTAGTAGAAATGCACTAACAATTTAGTGTTAGAAGTGGAAAATATTGCTTTTTAAATAACAGTGAGAACTGGCAAACCGTTTAAAACGATAGGAAGTCAATTCTAGTGTATATAAGAAAATCTGGAACTTTCAACTATGGATATTTGTTCATACTTATGTTGTATTGTTAATGATTCACTTTAATGCCCAGGTTCCATGTCGGTTTTGATTGACTGATTAATGTGATAACAGGCACTGAGATAAATCTCTTATGTATTTTGTCAGTCTTTTTATATTGTTTGTGATTTCGATGCACGTGATTTAAGGGGGTTGGAAATATCTTGGATCATTTAAGATTTTGTCTTTTAACATGTACATTCAAGTTTTTTTTAACTTTGTATACCTGAAATGTAGAACTGTGATTCTACAGTTCAACGACTTACTTTTAGAATATTGCCTTCCAAGCTTTAATTGAAGAATCTAGTTTATGTATACTTAGTCACTATGAAAAAGGGGATTACATACTTTACGCCACAAACCTTAAATCTGTTACATTGTGAGTCAATAGGAAATTTCATTTATGACAGATGTTTATTTATCAGAAGGGGGTTTGTGGAGATTTAGTATTTTCATAGTTGAAAGCATCAGTCAATTGAAGCTAGACCACCATGGAAAACCTGGAAGCACTGGTGAGGAGTCCCATAATAGGACGAAACGGCCGTCCAGTGCTTCCAGGTTCAATTGACTCACGCTTTCAACTATGAAAATGTTTATTTATTTATTGTCGTACATCAATGTATTGTATGCACTGTTTGCACTTCTAATAGGCAATAAATAACATTATTCTTAGAATAATAAATAATGTGTATATAATTAATTTATCATGCATATTCGTTCATCATAATCATGATTTTATGGAAGGTTATTATATGTAGTATTACATTTGTTTTTTGTTTAATTAATCTCATTAGGAAGCTGAACTAATTGAATTTTTTCGTTCACATCAAGCTGGTCATCGAAGCAGTTCTATTGCAGCTTTACATGGTGCTGATACTGTGATTTTAGGTTTAGTAAGTATATAACCATTTATTACCATTGATAATTTCTCAATATCTTATTATGCTGGTAAGATTAATTTTACTTGTACGATAATCATTTTCATGTATTAACATAATGAATACTGTTATGAATTGACAAAATAAGCAAAGGAGGTATGACAATTCATTATCGGTTTTATGTCCGGCTTTTATCACGTGAATTATCCACCAATGGAATTACGACTTTCCCGACCTTGACACTGTGCCAATCAATGACGTTTAACTGGTATGAGCAGTCTAGCGTCCTTATTGGTCCTTTGTCCGCCCAGCCCTTCCACTTGAGTCCAGAACACTAATTACAGCTTCAGCTATGTGAATCATTTATTTCAAGCATACTTTGTTTATATACTAGACAGACAGACTGCATCACATCATAAAATAGAAAATAATATTTGTACAAGATCAAGCCAAACGTGACTGTGAACGTGTGTGACAATAATCAATAAACTGAATATTATTTAGGAACAGTAAATCGTATGACAATAGGTCAAAATGAAGCTTATAATAAGATGAATATAGATATACACAATCTAATTACTCAATAGTTAGACAATAAGAATATATATATATATATAAGTATAGGTAATTTCCGGGACCTATCAATGGACGATTATTGTATATATATATATATATATATATACAATAATATATATATATATATATACAATAATCGTCCATTGATAGGTCCCGGAAATTACCTATACTTATGTCTTCGCTAGGATATAACAAATACAATATGATTATCATCTAAATAATTATGGGGGAATATATTAATTAGATATTATTGATTGCTGAATTTCCCTCTCATTAGATATAAGATTATTTCGAAATTAATGAATAGCTGATCGCATTAAAGAGTGTTTTTCTCCAAAACAATAATATCCGGCCCCAAATTTCTTGGCAGTAAGAATCTCAGGAAATGGAATGATTTTCAAAAATAATGATAATTGGTCGGAAGAGCCTTTACTTTCACTGAATTGCGAAAATATCTGTTTTTTTATTGTATTCTAGTCTGTTTATAGTAATAGGATGATATACATAGGCTACTTAAATTGTTTGAGTAATCTCACTAGAAAACTTTTTGATAGGATATGTTGGGATACAAAGAAAAATCTCAGTTCGCCTTGCTAAATAGATACTTTTTTACTCAATCCATAGTGATCATAAGGCATGCTTTATTCGATAGCTGAACAATAAAATTTGTAGAAACTTTACAAGGTTTGTTTGTTGACACATTTTAATATCATTACTCATGCATAGTAAACGGGTTAGGTGATTAAAACTTATTTACACTTAGTTGATCACTAAGTGGGTGACCACAGGCATATATATCAGGTTCTTTTTTAGTGCTCACAGAATCCTATCGATCAAGCTGTGATGTGTTCACTGGGAAATATGACGCAGATGTCAAAAGAGATACTACATAATTCAAATGTTGTTCTGGCCACAAAAAGTGATCAATTCTCATCTAAAAGGAAGTATGTAACTATCTTTTTTAATGGCTAACCGGTTCAACCGCAAGTTGATACGCGGTCTGACATAACATTGATTTCTAAAAAGACTTGGATAAAACTTGGTTGACCTCAATATTAACCTATATATTGTAATGCTGAGAGTGCGACAGGAACTAATATTACTCTTCATAGAGAAATGCAGCTAACTCTCACAGTGGGTGAAAAGACTATGACCGGAAAATGTTATATATCTGGGAACTGTCATACCAACTTATTGTTTATTGATTGAATAGATAAATTTGGTTTGTGGGATCTACCGTTGAATACACCGAAAGTAGAATCCCAGCTATGGCCAGAAACGAACAAGCCTTGGGTCCAAGTACACATCGATTATGCTGAACCAATAAATGGACAGTATTTTTTAGTGGTGATAGATTCATACTCTAAATGGCCTGAAATCTATGTTGTGCGAAGACCATCTACTATCTGAAACACTGCTACATCTCAAACAACTATTTGGTAGGTTTGGGACACCTAATGTTTTGGTTTCTGATAACGGAACGCAGTTTACGGAGTTCTGCGAACGAAATGGAATCGAACATATTGGAACCCCACCGTATCACTCTCAGTTAAGTTGGCAGGCAGAGAAATTTGTTGACATTCGTAAGCGAGCCCTCTTAAAGATGAGAGGAGAAGATAACGTATAAAAGGCCCTGCAATAGTTTCTAATCTCTTATAGAATTACACCTAGTCCAAACTGTCAAGACGGAAAATCACCAGTCGAAATAACATTTGGTCGACCAATTAGAACATTTTTCGATGTTTTGAATTCGAAAGACAGGAGGAGTGGACTACAAAAAAATAAGGAAGGGAATTGCCCAAAAATTCAAGAATTTAAAGCAGGCGACCTAGTTTATGCACGTGATTTCCGGCCTGGAACGTCAAAATGGATATTTGGGTGTATAAAAAAAGACGTAGGACGATATTGTATGAAGTGATACAGATTATCTACTAGTCTGACTAAGGAAAAGAAACAACCATTGTCTTTCTCTCCCACGCATCAGTAATCGAAAGCAATTTATAATAGATGTGTACAAGCAACAACAATATTGAAGTTCGATGTAAAATTTCCTGTTAAATCTTCTTTATGACTATTGTGTATGTTATTTAGTTTCATTGGAAGAATGAATTTATTGAAATTGAACCACCATTTGAAACTCATAGCACTGGATGGCCATTATAGTATGGGACTCCTTCGCAGTACGTATCCTGTATGTACAGAAATGAGGAGACACATACCAGGACGAAACTCTGGTTCAGTGCTTCTAGGTTTTTCGTGGAATTCAAAATAAGTCTTCACCGGTTCCTTCTTTCCATACTCTGCTACTTTTAGACTTCATGGTTGTGTAGTCATCGTAAATAATCTTTATAAATAAAAAACTCATATTATTACTACTTAACTTTGACTAAAAACCATCATAAAATACTTAACGCTTTATAAGGACACGTCCCAACTTGTTGTTAAAACAATATAATATTTAATTCGATCCATTTTTTCCACACAATCTACATGCATAGACACATTTAAATTTTAACTTCAATTTTTCAAATTACACATTTCTCACACCCACAAACAAACACAGTTATGTGTTATATATAATCATCTTGACCAAACAATGCACATGAAATTGACACGATTAGACCTATTCTTGGGTTCCTTTATTATTTATTTATTCATTTAGACACATAAGCACTATTACGAGGCACCAATTACATATGCGCCACAGAAGTCATCAGATTTTTGTGAGGGCTGAAACAGGTGGTTTTCTTAGGGAGCCACTCCCTAAGACTTTAGCCTAGAGGTCTAATCCACAAGGCAGTGGAGCAACGTTAAAAGATGTGATCCCATGGTAGCCTGTGACTAATAATTGGTTCATACGCCATTTGTTCCCTAAGAATTCTGGAGCCCATTTGCACCATTGGTTTGGAATCGGGGTTCTCCAGCTCCCCTAAGTCGACTCTCCGTACCCACCGACCCGATTAAAGTTCCGGACATTAGCTTACTGTTATGAGGCTCTGTTTTCCTCGTCTACACGAATGGGACGTTAATTTGCCTTAGACGAATATTCATACTAGATACCCTCCCAGTGTCTATTCGACAGGAATTCAACACAACTCAGATCAAGAACACGTGACTAGCCTAACTAGAACGTAATATATTTCCACACCAAAAACAATAATAATAATAATAATGTTAAGAGAATATATAGTTTATCTAGTACCTGTCAGACTATCTACAAGTTTGACTAAGCAAACAACCAATCATTATCATTCACATACATCACTTTTCATCCTCTCAATTTCGTAAACAACACCCCGGCCTCTAGAAGGCAGTTAGTAGGAATTCCCTGACAGGAGCTGTTGTTAGTACTTATTTTATTTTCATTTCTCTTACTATGATTCTTATTCATTTCTTCTTGTTCTGATGTAACATGACAATTTCCTTCGACAAGTATCTTATGTCAGGCTCTTTGCTGATTATTACTACTGACTAAACTAGTCATTATCGTCAGTCAATAAAAACGAAAGGTCACTAAACATCCATTGCAATTGAGATTAGTCGATCATGTTTAACTTATATTCCTCCACATTCATTATGGTGTGTCAATGATAATGTTAGAAGAGTCCCGAAATACTGTTCGTCCAAGTTCCTATAAATTCAAAAACTCCAGGAAACATTTCACCCAATCAGTGTCGAATATAATCGTCGCAGAAACATTTGAAAAGTGCAGAATCATGTTTGTCGGTTTTAGTTGAATATTTGCCTTTACTTCATCACGAGGCAAGCCTTAACTTGGAATGCTGAAGGGAAGCGGAAATGAGGAAGGCCAAAGAACACATTACGCCGAAAAAGAGAAGCAGGTATGAAAAGAATGAATAACAACTGGAAAGATCTGGGAAGGATTTCAGTTGATAGGGTTGGATGGAGAATGCTGTTAGGCGGCCTATGCTCCTCCACGAGGGATAACAGGTGTAGTTATTGTTGAATTTATCTATACTTACTTGCTTACGCCTGTTGCCCCTCGTCTTGAGCAATCCTTTTATTATCCGCTTCTAATTCTCGATGTAGTATGTTCTTTGGCCTTCCTCTTTTTCGCTTCCCTTCGGAATCCCAAGTTGAGGCTTGCCTCGTGATACAGTTTGGTGATTCCCTCATTGTATGTCCTATCCACTTCCAACGTATTTTCCTAATTTCCTCTTCAAGGAAAGGTACAATTATTTATAAATAGTTATCTACGCAAAATACTCAACATTCACTGACCGTATACCATTAGCAATAGCCTTCTGTGTGACAGAAAAACCAGCTTCCAGCTGAAGAGGAAATTAGGAAAAGACGTTTGAAGTAGATAGGACATACATTGAGGAGATTACCAAACTGCATCACGAGGCAAGCCTCAACTTGGGATTCCGAAGGAAAGAGGAAAAGAGGAAGGCCAAAGAACACACTACATCGAGAATTAGAAGCGGATAATAAAAGGATTGCTCAAGACAGAGTTGGAAGGAGAATTCTTTCTGGCGGTCTATGCTCTTCCACGGGAGTTAACAGGCATATGTAAGTCATTGTAAGACCTTTAGCTCTCTTCTGATACGATATTTTCGATACTCTCAACTAAAAATTTAATACTGAACATCACCCTAGTATACTCTATAGTACTTCAATGAAATTAAATTTAATATAATGAAAAACAATTTTCTGTTCTTTACCAGATACATCATGAATTGGCTCGTTTACATGCTTCTGGTCGTTTAGCTTTATTGCATCAAACCGGTTATTATCAATTTAAGTGCAATGAAGTAAAGAACCATCGACCTTCTATAGATATTGAGCAAGAGTTGAATGGAAATCAATTGAATGAATTAAATCGCCCACAAAATGTTAATTGGGAATCAGTTTTATTTCACTTAGAACAATCAGCTAAACTTGGCTGTTTAGATGCTATTCAATGTTTAGCTCAATATTATTTGAATTTAATGGTTGATGGCCCATTATCGGAATGTCCCATTAAAGTTAGTCTATTCACTGTTCCAGTTTTATCATTGAAAATAAGATTTCAAGAATAAGTAGAGTAGTTTTTTCTTTTTTTTTAAAAAAAATATTCCCAAAATATCTCCCTTCAAGATAATATCAATGGTAAATCAAGTAATCAGGATAATAATAGCTTCTTACATGCAAGCTTTAGTTGGCAATCTAGTCATTTAAAAAGAGCGCCTAACCTCGAGATAATTGTAGCCGGAATCCAATGGTATAAAAGTCTAGCTTGGCCTCACCACTTATATAGAGTAGTCTTCCTGACTCTATAAATTGTTTTATGCCTGATATACATCCCGGATTAATTTTCTATATGTTCTAGAATCTGCCACGTTTCTAAAGAGCAATATCAAAAGTCGAAATACGAAATCTTGTTAAGATAAATATATCTCATTCATTCATATATGTAGGCAAACGATATGAGAAGATAGGCGCATGCGACACGAAGTCGCCATACTAGCCACCTCACTAAGTATTTCTGTCTCAGTTTATATGGTTCAAATAAACAGTCGATACGATAAGTACAAACATACACACAGACAAATTACACATATAAAAACACAGTATAATTGATGGAATTAACGAGGACGGATGCAAAATGTATACATATATGGAACAATTACTTGTGGGAAGCATACGATGATAAGGGGGATAAAAATGACTCTTTAGTCTTATTCTATTTGAACTATTATCACCCGTTTAAGTAATGATTGATTTTCCCAGGTGTTTTCGTACACACTACCTGCTCCTTATTTTTCATCATTTATCTTTGAGGCATTCGTCACGTATCATGTAGCTATTTACTGTGAAATACTGAAGTGGTAGTGGAATGATACTGGGCAAACATAGCAACATTTTCAAATAGAATTTTTCTTGAAAATCATGTTAATGATAAACTTCGTGACGAATACATTTTTACACCTTTTTGAATACATATAATTTGCTTGTATGGTTATTGGCAAATTTTAAATAAACATTTGAGTTGACAGGATGTTTTCCAGTTTATTTATTGAGTGCTTAACTATTTCCTTGAAATCCCAATTTCTGTCTGTCGAACACATCTAAGTTCTACTTAAAATCGTACTCGTAATTATTTGCACTATAGTTAAGACTATAACTTATGGGCAAACTTTGAGCGATACTGGGGTGACCTTGAAATAACTCACCTATTTACTAGGGTCAACATAGGGTTATAAATTAGTATGTTGAATTAGGATTGGGATTTAGGGTTGGAAATTAAAGTAAGGGTTTTCATCACGAACTGGAATCAGCTATACTGCCCAAATATTATTTAACTTATGTATGAATGAGTTTCGCGCCAAAATCCAATAATTGTTTCCCTCAGTTTCATTGGTTCGTCCATAAATTATAGTATCGCCCTCATATCGTTAAAATGTTTCTTGTTTGTGGTAGAAATGTCTTACCTCTTCTTCATGAGGAATTCTTGAATCACACAGATTATCAACTTACAATTAAATTGGCCACCGATTATTTAACAATATCATGTATGTCAAGTTCTTCTTAGTGCTGATCGCATCCTATTGATCAATTTGCAATGTGGCCACTAGTCTATGTTCCGATGTAAAGTGGTGGTTGAAGGTAGTCTACAGAAAACCTTGCTTGACACATAGGCCTTGAGCTATTTGGCACCCGTCACCAGGGTGTACGTATGGTCTTGAGGGGATTGATGCTCACTGGTGGTTCCAATGTCACCCAGCTTCACATTCAGGGATGTTACCACTGAGCTATTTGGGCTGCGACTGAATTAATGAAAGTTCTTAATATGTTATGGGATTACTTTTGTTTACTACAATTTTCACATCTTTCAGGTGTCTAATATACTTGTCTTTTTTAACTTAGCCCGATCCCCTAGAATCTCGAGCACATGGTTTTGCCTTAATCAGTTCGGCTGCATCAGCGGGAGACCGTATGGCTATGGTTTATTTAGCTGAAGCTAATTATCACGGCGAATATTATTCTCCAGATACTAGCAATGATATCAATAATAATAATGAGCGGAAAAAAGAACCTGACTGGTTAGCAGCTGCACATTGGTATGAAATGGCAGCTAAAGTTGTTACTTATGATGATGATGCTACAGAAGATGATGAAATAAATCAAGGCAATCCATCGTTTGTGAAAAGGAGTCGTTCTGGTTTTCATGCATTATCTGAATGGCCAATTTATCGTTTACAAGGTCGATTAGGAGAAATGTATGCTAAAGGTGGTCATGGTTTAGTCAGAGATAGAGCAAAAGCTTGTAAGTTATTATTTTAAAGATTAAATCTGGACTGTACTGTCGGCCTTAAGTGAATTCAAAAGTGACCTCGAGATTGACCAATCAGAAAATAGCTAATTAGGATTTAACTTTTATAAAAGAGTCCTAAAACATAACGATGATCCCACTACAGATGATTGAAATTTTTAGCATGAATAACCCATGTTAGGGCTAACTATCGATAACTTACACTTGAAATCATAGTACCAGCGTTACCTTAATATAATAGACTTTCGGTGTTATTTCAGAATCGACCACATATTTGTTAGTGCACATGCATCAGCTTTTAAGTCGTCAGTATTTAGTTATCCGTTATTTATCTTTCATTTTTAACCTAATGATCTTGTTTTTTAGTTCTCTGTTCCGATACTATTTCCAATTATGATAGTTTAAATCTGTACCCTGTATAGTGTAAATTTCCAGATTAATAAGTCTTTCTATTTGTCTTTTCGAATGTAGTTGCAATATAGAGCATTACTTAAGCTAATAATAATTATATATATAATCATAAGAGTTCGATCCGTTTTCTAAATATTATTATTGGAGTCATAAATCGGCCTAAGTTAGATAGCTATTGAAAACCTTGTGGCTTTGGAAACTCCTCAGCCATCCGCATTCATAATCCCGCTGCCGGAGATCGAACCCAGGATATTCGGACGAAATAACTGTCTAGTACTTCCAGGTTTTCAATGGTTGCCTAACTTAGATCAGTTGACGATCTTCATAAAAACCAATAATCTCCACAATCCCTCCACTGATAAGTTTCGTTTATTGTTTTAATAATGAGAATATGTAACTAGTTAGTTTCATACGATTAGTTCCATCTATGAATTTGAATAAACAAGAACAACAGTTAACACAGAATCCAATTTAATTTTCTCTTCGGTAAATTATGTACATGCCTCTCAAGATTTCGAAGTAGGATGTCACGTTCATGTTCTTTTGGAAGTGTTAGTGTTTTCGTAAATTCCAAGGTTTTTTACTGAACATTGTAAATACTTAATTTGGCTTCTAATATTTGAATCCGTAACAATTTTATCGAAGCTGTAAGCCACAAGTAAAGTTGAATAAGGTCTACCAGGGGATTCCAGGATGTACGTTTTATCCTATTTGATACTCTTCATTAGGATATGCCTACATCCATGTTGGTGTTCACCCCAGGATTCGAACCCAGTACTTTTTTTTTCAAACCCCCAAAGTTATATCCACTGGGCTGGGAAATAACTAAATAAATAATGTCATGAGTTTGCTTTAAGTTTAGAGGTAATTTCCTTGATACATTCGATTTAGGAGCTTACGCCAGTTATTATTCTTGCTTTATTCTAATTAGTTAATTGTTTGCAAGCTTGTTTGTCCTTTTTTTCTCAGCAAAAGAATAAATCAGCAAGATTTATAGAATACTATCACTTTGATTTAGCTTATTAGTGTTTTTTTTCCACTGCGTCAGTGATTAAAGTAAGGCTTTAGATCTACATTTTATCGTGGTTGTGTAATACTTATCAACAAGACAATAAATGTTCTAATAAAGAATGATACATAGAAATGCACCAAAACAATAACGAATGGCTTAATACATAGAAGTAGCTATCACAGGAGAATTAGGAATAAATTAAAGGTCAAGTTAAGCATCTCAATATAATATAGGTGACATAAAAAAGGGTCAAATAGAAGCCATCAAGGTAATTAGAGGATCATATGTAGGTCATTCGACAATAAATGACTCAGGAAAAACAAAGTATGTGAAATCGTTGAGTGTTTTGTTTACAAAATGTTGTTGCCTTGACTTGCTAAGCCTAACATGTTATTTTACTGTTTTGAGATGATACAGAACATTAATAGTTTAAGATGAGGATGTTGGACGTGTTGTGGTCTCTAAGCTGCTGATCACAACACTTCCAATATTTTACTACCTTCTATTTTGTCCCAATTAACCAATCATTATCCCTTTTTTGTATTGCATTTGAGATTTACCAGCCATAAGATAATAAATATGTTGGATGATCCCTATGCTGATGCTACTTGTAAGCAGTCAACTATCATTTTACGTTTAATTCATAGATTCGAACCAATGTGCATATACATCCATCTTATAAGATAATAAAAAATATTTGTAGCTCATGATGAAGATTTAAGTAGATATTATACTTTCTAACTCGAATGATTCAATTGTATTGGTTTATTTTCTCTTTTCGTTGTTTATTTTGAATAAATTGAGCATTGGGTAAATTGTTATAAATAAATGTAATATATTTGTGATATCCCAGTGAGTAGAAAAATTAGATTTTCTGACGTTTCGTGACTCAGTGTCAGCCATGTCTTCAGAGAATAAAAGAAATAAATGGCTTACACTGAGTCACGAAACATCAGAAAATCTAATTTTTCTTTTCGCTGTGTCCCATTAGTGTGCATAATATTGATCTTAAAGGCTTTTTGTTGGACTTGTATGCTACACTTACTGCTAGTGGCCACTAATCTGTTTTTAGTCTTGATGATGTTGTTTAATAATAATAATAATAATAATAATAATAATAATAATAATAATAATAATAATAATAATAGTGTAAGATCATCTAGTTACTGATTTTTACTGTTTAAATTATATATTACTTACTTACTTACTTACTTTCGCCTGTTACTCCCAATGGAGCATAGGCCGCCGACCAGCTCTCTCCAACCCACTCTGTCCTGGGCCTTCTTTTCTAGTTCTTTCCAGTTCTTGTTCATTCTTCTCATGTCTGTCTCTATTTCTCGGCGTAATGTGTTCTTTGGTCTTCCTCTTCTCCTTCGACCTTCAGGATTCCATGTGAGGGCTTGTCTTGTGACACAATTGGGTGATTTCCTCAAAGTGTGCCCAATCCACTTCCAGCGCTTCTTCCTGATTTCTTCCTCCGCTAAAATCTGGTTTGTTGTCTCCCACAGTAACTTGTTGCTGATAGTGTCTGGCCATCGGATCCGAAGTATCTTGCGTAGACAGCTGTTAATAAACACTTGTATCTTCTGGATAATGGCTTTCGTAGTTCTCCACGTCTCTGCCCCATACAGAAGAACTGTCTTGACATTTGTATTAAAAATTCTAACCTTGGTGTTGGTTGACAATTGTTTTGAACTCCAGATGCTTTTCAGTTGTAAATATGCTGCTCTTGCTTTGCCGATCCGCGCCCTCACATCTGCATCTGATCCACCGTGTTTATCAATGATGCTGCCCAGATATGTAAAGGTTTCCACATCCTCCAAAGCTTCTCCATCAAGTGTAATTTGATTGGTGCATATTGTGTTGTATCGGAGAGTCTTGCTTTTCCCTTTGTTTATATTGAGACCTACTGCTGCTGAGGCTGCTGCTACACTGGTCGTTTTCTCCTGCATTTGTTGTTGCGTTTGTGATAGAAGAGCCAGATCATCCGCAAAGTCTAAATCGTCAAGCTGCATCCTGCCTGTCCAAAGTATCCCGTGCATTCCTCCAGATGTTGACGTCTTCATAATCCAGTCGATCACCAGGAGAAAGAGAAAGGGTGAGAGTAAGCAACCTTGCCTAACACCGGTCTTTACCTCGAACGAGTCGGTGAGTTGTCCTCCGTGGACGATTTGGCAGTTTAGTCCATCATAGGAGTTCCGTATGATATTGACTATCCTCTCAGGCACGCCGTAGTGTCGAAGAAGCCTCCATAGTGTCGTCCTGTCCACGCTATCAAATGCCTTCTCGTAGTCGATGAAGTTGATGTAGAGTGATGAATTCCATTCGATTGATTGTTCCACAATGATCCGCAGAGTTGCGATTTGATCTGTGCACGATCTATCCTTACGAAATCCAGCTTGTTGATCTCGAAGTTGGTCGTCCACGGAATCCTTCATCCTGTTTAACAATACTCGGTTGAAGACTTTTCCTGGTATTGAGAGAAGAGTGATGCCCCTGTAGTTGTCGCATTTGCTCAGATCACCTTTCTTTGGTATCTTGATCAGAAGTTCTTTTTTCCAGTCTGTTGGTACTTGTTCTTCGTCCCAAATCTTACTGAAGAGGATGTGGAGTATCTTGGCAGTTGCTGCTACATTTGCTTTCAGTGCCTCTGCCGGGATGTTGTCTGGTCCTGCTGCTTTGCCGCTCTTGATTTGTCTAATGGCCATGCTGATCTCTTCAATTGTTGGTGGGCCAATATCGATTGGGAGGTCTGTGGGTGCTGCTTCGATGTTGGGTGGGTTCAGTGGAGCTGGTCGATTCAAGAGTTCCTTGAAGTGTTCTACCCACCTGTTTCGTTGTTCTTCAATATCGTTGATTACTTTGCCTTCCTTGTTTTTCACTGGTCTTTCTGGTTGACGGTAATTTCCAGCAAGTTTCTTTGTTGTATCATACAGTTGTCTCATGTTTCCCTCTCTTGCAGCCTTTTCCGCTGTCATCGCTAAATCTTCCACATATTTACGTTTGTCGGTCCTGATGCTCCTCTTCACTTGCTTGTTTGCCTCTGTGTATTCGGCTTGTGCCTTGGCTTTTTCCGCTCTTGTTCGGCTGATATTGATTGCTACCTTCTTGTTCCTCCTTGCTTCAATTTTATCCAGTGTACCAACAGTGATCCATTCCTTGTGATGGTGCTTCTTTTGACCCAGAACCTCCTGACATGTTGAAACGATTGCCTCCTTGATACCTTTCCAGCTGCTCTCTATGGTGGTTCCCTCTCCATTGAGTAGGTCATGAAAGGCCTCGAACCTGTTGCTGAGGGCTATGTTAAATTCGTTGAGTTTGTCAGCATCTCGAAGAAAGGCCGTGTTAAACTTTTGTGATGTTGTCCGCGCCGTTGTCCAGTGCTTCTTGAGTTTTAGTTTCATCTTGGCGACCAGCAAATGGTGATCGGATGCTATATCAGCTCCTCTTCTGGTTCTCACATCCTCCATCGTCCTCCTGAACTTTTTGTTGATGCAGACATGGTCGATTTGATTTTGTGTAGTGTGATCCGGTGAAATCCAAGTGGCTTTGTGTATGTTTTTGTGTGGGAATATGGTGCCACCTATGACCAGTTTATTGAAGGCACATAGGTTTGCAAATCTCTCACCGTTTTCGTTCCTTTCTCCCAGTCCATGTCGTCCCATGACGTCTTCGTATCCAGTGTTGTCCTTTCCAACCTTGGCATTGAAATCTCCCATTAGAATGGTCAGGTCCTTGGTTGGGCACTTCTCGACGATCGACTGCAGCCTATCGTAGAATTGGTCTTTAGCGTCTTCATCGTAGTCGTTGGTCGGCGCATAGCATTGGATGATGTTCATTGTAATGCCCTCTCTCTTTGTTCTGAAGGAGGCTTTGATGATCCTCGGTCCATGAGATTCCCATCCTATAAGTGCATTTTGTGCTTTTCTAGACAGCATCAGTGCCACTCCTTGTGTATGTGGGGCATTTTCTTCTTCATGACCGGAGTATAACAGAAGTTCTCCTGAAGACGGTCGTTGTTGTCCAACCTGCGTCCAATGTGTTTCACTGATTCCAAGCACTTCCAGGTGGTATTTCCTCATTTCCGCAGAAATTTGGAAGACTCTGCCAGTCTCCCACATTGTCCGGACATTCCATGTACCTATAAAAATTGTCGCTCTGGTTGTAAGAAGGTGCATCGGCCTCATGACTTCCGAATGAACTCGGCTTTCATCATGAGACGTCATTTTTCCTTCTACTCCCAGGGCAGAGTTTGAATGGTTTGAATGATTTTTTCTGGTTAGCGTTTTTTTAGCGAGTTGATTTTCTACGGGATGGGGTCGCTAACCTCATGCCCAACCCTCCTCCTTTACCCGGGCTTGGGACCGGCAGTAGCCCCTGGAGGAGCTACAGGCGGAGTTGTTTAAATTATATATGTGTTACATAAACTAATTATTGATGCAGATACGATTCAATTAACCACACTCCTTGCTCGTAAAACAACACATTCAACATTCGTTTGATAATAAACTATATGTGACTATGGTTAGCAGAGATGGATAGTGGCTAGCAGTGAGATCCAGGACGCGCGTTTCGTCCTATTTGGGACTCGTCAGCTGGATGTACCTGCATCTCAGATTTGATGTTCACTCTGGGATTCGAACCCAGTACCCTCGCTTCAAACGCCATCGCGTTATCCACTCGGCCACTGAGTCCTGATAGCCACTTGCTTGTGCGATAGGGTGAAGTTTAAATGCAACTTAGTATTGTTTGTTTGAATCTTCCCATCGATTTGTTAGGACTGCAACTATATCGAGGCAATACGCACGGTATGCACATATGCCAATTAGAGACTGACCAGTTTCAGTCCTAAAACATCAATGGGAAGATTCAAACAAACAATACTAAGTGAATTTCCATGTGACTATTGTTAGCATCTTTTCTTTTTCGTACGAATTTTTCACAAATTGTATTGATTAAAATCTTTCAGCACCCCTTAGCATACCTTCATTTATATATTTTGTATATTGATATTTTTTTATGAAAAAATAAATAAAATTGTAGACGAACTCTACGAATCAGCTGCTGAAGGTGCTATTGAAGCACATGAAGGACGTATAGCAATGGAGTATTATGAACAAGCAGGTCTTTTAGAAGAATATGCTGCTGTTGAATTTGATGGAGAAATAGGAGAAAAGACAGAAGAAGACAAATAGACAGTAATAATAATAACAACAATAATAAGATTTTGTTCCTTTCAAATTTTTGTAAGAAATAGATTTCCTCCGATTATGGTTTGATATGTATAACTATTTTCATAATTTTTTTATGGTAAATTTTCTTCTTTTCTCATTGATAACCAATTGTATTGATCATGTATAATCACTTACTTACTTAAGCCTGTTAATCCTCATGGAGGAGCAAGGCCGCTGTATAATCACTAGTTTTCCCTTATAACATTTTGACTTGTTTATAATTCACTCATTTTAATTATCAACAAACAGGAGTTTTCTTCTTTTATGACCAAGCTTTTATTCATCTTTGTTTTGCCCTGCTGAATTATTATATTCTGTCTTGAATCATGTCATGATTATTTTTCATATTCATTACATGTACACTTTGTAATTCTATGTGTTATGATTACTATTATTGATTTATTCACTATGCACTATCAGTTCACTCATTGTATTTTCAGTTTATATTTTTTTCTATCCGTTCATTGTCTAATGTTTAACACTCTACTCATGTTTGTTAATTTCCTCTTCCTTCCTATCTCATATTGTTTGTTTTTTTACGAATTGGGGATATAACAGATATAGATGTGTGTATACA